AGAAGCAGTACATGTTGGAAAAAGAAAAAAATTGAATCTGCGATTGAGCTGCAATATTTTGCTGACTTTTCATGGCTAATTGACGCATTTGCTCAAACAGATTGCATGCAACTAACTTGATCCAATTCACTGCAAACCCATAGCAGGCTGAATTTATATTACTGCTGTTTTATCATCATCAGAGTTGCTTTGAAGACGGCAGTTGACGTTAACGGTTGCAGATCTGTCTTTGAATCTCAAGTTCATCACCCACAGACGCCGTAATTATGGCTGTGTGATGGTGTCCAGTTTTTCCTGCAACTGTACCATTAACCATGTGCGCATTCAATTACAGTGGAACTGTTTCGTAAGTCGAAAATTTTCGTAAGTCGAAGCACCCATCGCGCCTTTTGAGTGAACGATAGGCTATAGGCTAATTGCTAACTGCAACAACAATACGTTGTTCAAGTGGAACAGCGAAGTACAAATGCCAAGAGGTTGTCACATGATTTGGAAGGCATTGTGGGCATTGTGGGCTCAGCCAATCAGAGCCATCAGATTTCGTTACGCGGGCATTTTGCCGTAACACGGGCAGAAATATTGCCGTTAAGTGCCTTCGTAACTTGAATTTTTCGTTAAATGGGGTATTCGTAAGTCGGGGTTCCACTGTATTTGAACCGCATAAAAATGAGCTGATGTAAGAAAATCAGTCATAAACGGCACTGCAGAAAGATTTTAGGAACTCAAAGTGAAGTGTGTTTTCACAAAGTGCCACCCAAATGTGTGAAGGACAACGATCTAAACACGTGAAGTCTTTGCGGAGTATGTTCGTAAATGACAAAACCAGAAAGTGAGAACAACTGCGGCTGCTTGTGAAGAAGCTCTTCTGTGCTGCAGGCCCACCAAGTCTGCTGGGCTGGGAAATGTTCCCCAGATAATAGAGCTCACACCTCTGTAGAGTGTTAACAACCCACTGCAATGTCACCACTTTAATTTCATTCATGTTCACTTAGTTACAGTCATAGTGTGGCGTGTGCCCCGACAGTATGCGGGCGAGGTCGTGCAGACGGACATCGTCACCTGAACTGCTTCATTTAATACAATTTCAGGTATTGTCGGGAACCTCGTGTGTTATTAGGCATACTCACCTTCACTGCACCAGTTTGAAGTGCTTTCAAGGCATCTGTAACATAACAGCATGTTAACGGTGCTCAAGTCATGTGAGTTCATGCTTTAACCTCAATTTTTAACTGATTTGAAGACACGGTGTGGTGCAAGCATGCGAACAGAGAGTGGGCATTCAAAAACGTGTTGATGATCAACTCATTGTCGCAGCTGCAACGGTGAGTGACACAGCTTCCTTGAAAATGCTGTCATTTGTTGCAGAGAACATAAGGGCAACAGTGTTACCTGCTGTGTAATGGGACTGTTTGATATTCTCTTCAGTCGATTATCTAAACGGAGGCCCGGAAGTACAGTTTCAGAAAAACTTTAAGCCTCCGATATAAAAAAGTAATGTTTTCCATCTTCCATCCTGTGCAGCAGTGTTTCAGGACCTTCCAAGCTCAAACCACTCTGCAATCACTCACTTTAACTGTTTAACTGTTAGACCACTATCACATTTTCCCGCCCCCTTCCCTCTCTGTGCACGCCACAGAATCTCTTCCGCTCTTCCTGTCATCTCTCCATCTGTTAGCGCCTCCTCCATCTGTCTCCACTCTTCTGTGACCTGTGCATCCATCCATCCATCATCTATACTATCATTATCAGTCTCACCCTGCTTGTCTGCCATACCCCCCACCCCCCATTAGTCACCCTTCACCCCCCACCCCAAGGCCCGCCGCTTATTGATTAGTTGTTCCTCCTCTTTATCCCTGCCAGCTTCACGTTCCTCCATTTATCACACAGCTTTAAGTTCTCCAAGCTGTGTGACATATATTAACAAGGAAGCAGCATCGACGCTTATTCATTAAGCCCTGGGCAAACAGGCTCCATAGCTTCCTGCAGATTTTGGTGTCTGACATAAGATTCGGTTTCTGTTGCTTTTTCCTGTGTGCTTCATTAGGTCGGGGTGCTCAGTGATGAAAGTTAAAAAAGTCGTACCTACCTTGAGTACATCTGTGTGTTCTAAGGAGAGCTCGTTGTGACTTTCCTTTTCGAAGAGATCACCTTTCATATCCAGTGAATAAATATTTTTGCTTCCTCCACTTCTGTACCATTCATTCATTAATGTTGAATTCTCTCTGCTCTATTCCCATGTTGTTGCAGTATATTAATGACCTCGAGTTGATTATTTCAGTTGTTCTTCTGACTGAAGTTTGGTCTTTTTACAGCATCCTGACCTGCGATTGCATTTGTCACTAACCATCGGGAACCGTCACGTTAATTTTTATTGAGTGGGAAAAAAGTTAGCGTTCATCCTCCAGCTTCACCTGTTTGTTATGCTAACATAGCTGTGTCACTAGCGGTCACATAGCACATCATTATATACCAGCTAGTCCAACTTAAGTAACCCTACAAATGTCACTGCTGTTTAGTTCTGTCTTCATTTATGTTGGAAGTGATAGCTGTAGTGTTGCCAACTCCCCAGTAAGAAAAATGCTATTGGCTGTCCTAAAAGTCGCTGGAACTCGCTAAATGATGTAATCGCCTAATTTGTATAATTGGTCATGCGCAGGTAATTGTAACAGACGTAGGAGAGAGAAATAACATTGTGGAAGAGACATGAAGTGAGTAAAAAAACACCCAAAAGCATTTAAATAAATAAATCATAGTTCTGTCTGTAACATATATATATATATATATATATAGATATATATATATAGATATATATGTGTGTGTAGTTTATAGATATAGATATATAGTTAATATATATATATAATAATATATATATATATATATATATAGTATTAATATATATATATATATATATTATATATATATTATAATATATATATATATATATATATATATATAGTAATATGTATATATATATATATAGCAATTATTGTTTTTTTCAATGTCACAATTCTGACCCTCCCCCTTTGTGGACTTGGGACCGGTGTTCTGACAAAATGTCCTACCATAAGTGGTTTATGCACATTTCTGCTGTCACAGAGTAACTCCAGCACAAATGTAAGTAGGTATGACGGTTTGCCACTTAACTTTGCCCATCTGAGTATGCTTGTAGCCCACATTCATAAAGCCAGGACGGTTTGCCACTTCATTTTACCCGTTAAAGTATGCTTGTAGGTCACATTCTCAAAGGTAGCATGGTTTGGCACGTAATGTTACCCGTCAGAGTATGTTTCTAGCTCATATTCACAAAGGTAGGATGATTTGCCACTTAATTATAGCTGTTAAAGTATGCTTGTACGTCACATTTACAAAGGTAAGACGGTTTGGCACTTAATTTCATGTTGTGCGCATGCGTAGAAACAACGGGTAGGATGGATTCCCAGAACACCTGGCAAAAGTGACTCGAAATAGACACTTTTGCCAGTTACTTTGAGTGTGTGAGTCTTTTTAAGTAGTTTTAAACCTTACTACTTATAAACTGCTTACCTGTCATAGAAACCGATTTCTAAGTTTTCAATGATGGGAATGATGCCTTTTAGTGCCTTGATTTATTTTCCACCTAAACGTGATATAGCATGTTTAGGTGGAAACAAGTGAGCTAACTTCCTGCTGACTTCTAACTCAGTTAAATTTAATACATTCTGCCTGGATATTAAACTTAATCGTTACACCTGGTAAAGCAGAAACGCTGATCATTTTATTAAAGATGAAAGAATTTAGACAGTTTTTAACTCAGTGATGCCGCAGTGATCGTTTGATTTTGGGACCTGAAGCGGACGGCGTTTTGGACCCAGATTACTCCGCGAGGCTCCTGACTACAGTAGCCATAATGCTCCAACAATCCATCAAGCGATGCGGCTTCGTAGATTACCAAAGTCGCACTAAAACATTTTTTGACAGATTTTTGAGCGCTGTGTACCACATAAAATCGTTTTGAGGTCAGTAAGCACAACCAGAATTCAAACATAAGGCGCACCGGATTGTAAGGCACGCTGTATATTTTTGAGAAAATTTAATTTTAAGTGCGCCGTATAGTGCGAAAAATACAGTATTCATACAGCACTTTCACGTTCACACACTCACTCCAATGGATGCATCAGGAGCAACTCGGCCTTCTGCATCTTGCCCAAAAGACACTTTGGCATGCAGCCTGAAGAGTACAGGAGCCCGCGATCAATCTGCTTTCTTTCTAATTGGTAGACAAGCCGCTCGACCAGCTGAGTCACAAGTCTTGTGTGATGTGAAGGGTCAGTGTGCACAGCTGTTAACAAACCTTTGTAGGAATTTTAGAGCTAAAACTAACTACATGGACCTGGAGGTATATGAGAAAATACCAAATTAGTTATAAAAATCCTGCTCACTGAAGCCTCAATCTGTCAACTCAGCACACTGTTGCATAACGCACAGTTTCTCAGTTCAGTTCATTGATTTAGCCCCACCTGAATGCCACAGCGACTGTGTGCATCTGGACTGGATGAAAGGCTCACAGAGGCTCCACACTGGAAAACATGTTTATTCACTTTTACCAGTGCAGTCAGATGAAACAGGAAACAGAAGAGACGGACACAAACACACATGGAGCATCACTGCATTACACAAGTCAAGGTCAGTAAAGGTCATCACACCTCCGCAGCACACAAGACTATTTCAGGACCAGTGAGGATCTGTGTGGCCACAAACGAGCGCATGCTTGTGGCATTATCCGACAAGCAGAAGTCCAAGATTTTCTGAGAACAAAAGAAGTACTCTTTGTGGCCTTTGTGTGGGCCACTTATTGGGACACACTGCCACCTGCTGGTTAGGAGGCAGCTGTGCAGCAGCTGGATCAGCAATACATTTTAAATGTTAAAACGTCTAGCAGGAGCCCACCAACATTAAAGACTACACACTAGTTCAAACCGCGGCACTTGAGCTAGCTAGCTAATAGCTGGTAAGGGACTCGATTTTTCAATCAGTTCTTTAATCCGTTGTGACAAATCGTTCAAACACATAAAACGTTACAGTTAAGCTCGGCTGAGTTTGCTGTTTATGTGAAAGAAGCAGAAACATGTTCATATAAAAAGTCAAATAAAAAAAAAAGAGCATATTTACCTTTCCGACTTGAAAGAAAATTCTGAAACAAGTACTTCTCATATCTGTGAATTTGTACATGAGAGGAGTGATAGCTACCATATGATGTAAATAACTGTCCAGTCAGTTCAGCAGACATGACCACTGCGTACAAGTCTGGTGTGGAGAAATGTGAGTGTGTGTGTTTCACATTCAGGATTCATCTCCGTTAGCACTATCGTCTTCTCCTTCCTCCTGCTCACCTTCGTCATCATCATCGTCCTCTCTCCCTCTGCTTTTCGTCTGCACACAGGGACACACACACAGGACAAAGGTTAACGTCAGTATTTGACACATGGATCAAGCAAATGAAGCCCAAAGTCCACAGTAGTTGGGACGGTGTGTAAAATGTAAGTATAACTATCAAATGCAATGATTATGATTAATATATATCTACAACGTATGCAAGGCCTCTGCCGAAAAAGACTTCATCTGTATACCTTTCAGCACTGATGAAGCTTTTCCACATCTCTAAAAGTGTTTCTGAGCCCATGCAGTGATTTCCATGACACAGTCATGTCTGTTTTTAATGCAGTGCTGCCTCAGGGCCCGAAGATCAATACTGGTCTTTGGCCTTATGCTCTGAATCTTTTGATGACGTTATGCTCTGTAGATCAGCGGTCTCCAACCTTTTTTGCACCACGGACCAGTTTATGCCCGAAAATATTTTCACGGACCGGCCTTTAAGGTGTCGCGGATAAATACAACAAAATAAAACTAGTACCGGTACCGAAAAAAAAGAAGATTTATTCATAACACACGTGAAAAGACCCAGGAAAACCGAGTTAACGATTAAAACGATAACAAAATAACGCTGAAAACCGATAAAAACCCTAAAAACCACACATTTCACACCTGAGCCTTAAATCTCGTGGCCCGGTACCAAACGACTCACGGACCGGTAAAATGAGCTCCTATTTTTCACAAAACAGTAAAATGTCCAGCTTTAAACATCTGATATTTCCTTTGCTCTACTATGAAAGAAATATTGTTTTATGGTTTTTGGAAATAATTTTATTTATATTTTAACATCATCCCAACTTTTTTGGATTTATGGTTTTAAACATAAATCATGTTAGGTTCTTTGCACTAAATTCGCCTGTTGAATAATAGCTGAAAACAAACTATGTGCATACAACAACTTGTTTAAAACAGCTGCTGATGTCCTCCTTTCCTTTTCCCCCTGTCCTCACCTCATCTTCATCCTCCAGCAGGTCTCCCTCCTCCTCTGAGTCATTCAGCTCCCGGCTCTCTTTGCCCCTCTTCAGACTGTCTTCCTTCTTGCTGGAGGTAGATGAGTGAAGAGGAGACACTTCACCTGGCTCAGGTTTGGAGCTTTTCATCTCTGAGTAGACGGTGGAAAGAAAACACACAAAAACACTCAAATAAAAAGCTGATTTTTCTGTTTCTGCCAGTCTGCTCCATACCTGGAACGTTTATATAATTGATGGCGCTGGGTGCATGAAATGTATATTTAACATTTGCATAAGCACCTCCATGACTCATCTTTGTGCAGCGTGAGTCACAGAGAATATATTTGTGAAAAAAAATGACATCTTTTGTTTTGGAAGAAGTGGACTTTGCTTGAACTGGTATTAGCTAATGCCAACCTGACAAGTAAATAATCACGTACACGTGTCTGTTTGTAAATGTATTCTTGGTCTCACATTGGAGGTTTTTAGGCTGTTGACGTGATGCCTGGCTGCCCTAAAATCAAAGCAGGACCCACCTGATTTCTTGCTGTGGTCCTTCTCCATGTGGTCTAAGCTCTCCAACAGGTAGTCCACCTTGTGTTTGATCTGTGTAAGCTCCCTTTTTATGGTCTGTAGATCATCTGCTTTCACTGTAGGGGAAGTATGGGATAAGCCACTACTGAGATGACCTTTGGAAGTCACCAGTAAAGACGGCATGGATGACTCTGTGAGGAACCTACTTGTACGTGAAGTTCTCTGGCTGCTCTTGGAGGAGGAGGAGGAGAAGCTGGTCTTGGTTCGTCGGCTCCCTCCGCTGCTCAGGCTCACCCTGGGACGTTTGGAGGGGATGACCGCGCGGGACAGAGGGGGAGGGGGAGGAGGCACCCGGGACTGGTAGGAGTACATTCTGAGAAGGAGAGCATCAAAGTGTTGAGCTTACTGGCTCTGCAAGCTGCTTTACAACCCCCCAGCTGGCCAAAAATGTGCTGAGCAGCAGGCAGATTATTCTTACATGTGTAAAGAATAAACTGCTTACCTGTCATAGTAATCTCTTTGGAAGTCGTAGTCCAAATCAAAAGATGAACTGTGAAAAGAGAGGGAACAGAAAGATTAGCCAGCAATGTGCTAAAGCTGCTGCACTGTGACTGAGAGCAAAGCAGCATGCACACACCTGTACATGTCTCCTGCAGATCGCTTCACTGTCTTCGATCTATGAGGCTTCGGTTCACCTGCCAGATTGATGTCTGTAGGAGGAGAAACATCGAGGTAAGGTAGGATGGACTAGAAATCCAGGAAAGAAAAACGCTATGGGAGAGAATGTGTGAAATTTCATCAAACACATCACACCACATCTCCATCTGGTATGTTATTTTTGTCAGACTAGTGCAGGTTTTACCTCTAACAGACTGTATCGGCAAATAAGTCCTCACGTTTATTTTTATTTGCCTGAACAACAGAGAGGCTCCTCTGCTCTTGTTCAGAGTGGATATGAAGCAACTCTCCTCTTTCTTTACTTCATTTTACTTGATTGTAACACTAGAGGGCAGCAGCATGTGTTTAAACTGTGAAATGGGAAGGACGTCCCAGATTTTAATCTGTAGGTGAGCAAATAAACTGCACATTGTAACAGATACAAGTCAGGGAGTGAACATATTTACAGCCTATACTTTGTGTCTCCATACAATTTTCTAAATGCACTCGTGATTAGAAAAATAGGAGGTTGGGAAATGTATTCATTTGCTTTCCTGCCAAATTAGAAAGACTGATTTTGCTTTCAGTGCAGTAAATATAAAGCTACTGCCACAACTTTACCTATATCACATATACGCTGCACAGAAGGAGGCATACCTAGATCAAAGGTAACAAAATATACTATCTAACACTTCCAAATGTCTTTAATGTAGTGCAAATAGTATTATATTATTGATTAACTTGCTTTATTCTTCAGTGACATTACCAAGCAATACCTTAACATGCTGTTTTTTTCCTCCATCTCACCTAGCACCTGTCCAACGATCATGCGGCCGTCCTCCCCGGCCACGGCGGCCCTGGCGTTCCTCTCGTTGGAGTACTGGACGAAGGCGTAGCCCTTGTGGACGGAGCAGCCGACGATCTTGCCGTACTTGGAGAAGATCGCCTCCACATCAGCCTTGGTGACCAGCAGGGTGTTGAGGTTGCCGATGAAGACGCGGGAGTTGAGGGAGTGGGGGTCGGTCTTGTTGGTCACGTTGCTGCTGGCCATCAGGCTGGAGGAGGAGGATGATGACCAACTGGCAGGGAGGCAGAAAGAGAAGGGTGAGTGCATGGGTGAAGATAGCAGTGGGGAAAGAAAAGCAGGTCAGCATGTGGAGGTCAGCAGTGTTTAGAGAAACAAGAAGGTGTGATATAGATTTGTCTTGTACTAAAGTTTAATGATGATCTCTGCTCAAAGGTCAGTGTGAGTGTTGAACCTTCAAGTTCTTTAACGGTATGACTTGAATCACACTGCCTTTGAGAATTCAGAATGATAGTCAGTGAATTGATTATTGATGAATTTCTTTTGATCTAATAGTTTATAAAACATCCAAAGATGAAAACTTGACTTCTAAAATGTTAAAACCAGCAGCCATTCCAACTAATTTTTGGCATTTTGTGTATGAAAAGCTTCACATGCTTCGTCATTGTGAATACAGGTATTAATTCTCTTTAATCAAACTGAGTTCATTTATCTCTAATTACATAATAGCCTCATTATAATCATATGAGAATGCCACTGCAATTACTGTTACGCACAAGGAACTTTAGGTTGTGCTTCTTACCCCTTACACACTAACTGCAAGTTTGCACTATCAAGAGCATCTAAAAATAGATACTAGACAGCAGAGTAGACAGTGTGATCGGGTCATGAAGCAGCCAGCACTCACTCCATTGTGTCTGTACTCGGGTCGGTGGAGGTCTGCCTGTCTGTGTCTGTTGGAGAGAAGAGGATCGTGGAGAAGCTATGAAACATGGAGACTGTGGGGGGGATTTTTGCTACACCTCCAAAAGATGTGATTTTTCCTCATATTTGGCCAAAAAAGGGGATTAAAATGGAAAAAGGTGTTAAAATATGTTAAAAACCTGTGGGATAAATTGTTGTTATGACAAAAACAAGCATATTCACTCGTGAGCAAATCCAATAACCTTCATCCTCCACAGAGGGTGAAGAAGATAAATGATTTTCTTTGCATTACAGCAGCTGGACAAAGCTTATAAAATGTGTTGTGATGGTATAACGTGGTACAGCTTAATAAACACAGCAACCTCTGAAGTGCCGACTGCATCAAAATTGGATCGTCGCACACCAGGAAGTTTGCGTCATGTGCACTTCGCGAGTCTGCAGGTACGATCCCCTTCTTTCGGTGTATGCCAGTAACAATCCGCCATGTTGGCTGCCACATGCTAGAGTCCCCTCTGACGGCTCTGCTGACATGAAAGTTTTGCATCACGTCATGTTTCACTTGCATCGGTGCAGTTTTGGAAGCTTCTCCTGTTGCTGTTCTGCATAAACGCACAGTGTATGCATGCAGTCAGTGGCGTACCAGCGTTGATTTTAATTAGTACAGTCTTGCCACACTGTTGCTGGATTGCTGTCTCACCAGTGGCCAATACTGCAAAGTTATGTAACACTGCAGGAGAGGGGGAAAAGTCCCTGAATGCAGTGTCAAAGCAACACTACAGGAAAAGGGCGATTTTATAAGAAGTCTTTATTTTATTCTGGTCACAATTCTGTAGTAAACTTTAAACCCCAGCATGCGGGAAATGATCTTCTTTGCTCAGTCCCCAGAGTCATTCATCTCATTATCCACCACTTCAGCTACTGCAAAGTCACGCCTCAGCTGCCAAAACAACGGCGCCCAGCAGCCTCTCCCCGCTCTGGCTGGTGACTCCTAGCAGAGGATTACAGTTTACAGCATTCCGGCCACAGCTGAAAGCGCTGCTCGCCACTGCATGATTTTGGCCAGGATGCATCTACTGTTTGGCGAGCTGACAGGACGTCTACAACATGGAGCGTGTTCAGGAGGTGCCGGGGACAACTGTGGCCTCTTTAGCTTATGTTTCTAAAGCTTTGTGGGGGGTTTAGGCAAGAATATCAAGGCACACGTGCACTCTAGTGTGATCTGAATGTCTGATGCTAAACACAACCAGTCAAGTTATATTTACACACAAGATGGAGAAAGGAACATTAAACCCTTGTATGTTATAGGCATGTGGATGGGAAGCTTGTGTTTGGACTGAAACAGGCAAATATCTCGCAAACACCAATTTTGCAATTTTCAAATCTTTGGGCACACGCCCATCAATTGGAGGACCTTGTTTGTCTTTTATGTGTAATGATATTTGGAGCCATTTGTGTTCACTTCCTTTAACTAGCATTCACTGCAGGCCTGTTACGTTCCCAGTTCTATTCAATTGCATGATAGTTTGTGGTCCCCTTGTGATTTAATTCTAAATTCAACATGTGGGGGCTCATTATTCAGGAACAACTGCTTATTATAGTCACTCATTAATGGCTCAACACACCTCTGTGGAACTTTTCTTATCCACTGCCTCATCTGGGCCTCATTTTACAACAACTCCACAAAAAACCTGTTCACTGTTCAGCTTCCCTCTGAGTGTTGGATTTGTGTTTGTGCTTCAACTGTGACAACACACTGCAGCTCTCAGGATTCATGCTTGAAGACAGACGAGACAAAATGACAAGAGCAGCTCTGCTAGAGGTTTTTTTAATACACATTCAGGGAGCAGAAAGTGGCGACGTGGTCGTCACCAGAGGTTCTTTTGATTTGTTTTCCAAATCAGATCAGAGCAGTGATGATGGAGGTGAAAAGGTGAAATGGAACTTGTTAAAAAAAAATCTGAATTTAAAAAAAAAAAAAAAAAAAGGGGAAAAAAAAAAATCAGTGTTTAGTGATTACTGAATTAGTCACTCATTAAGGTTATTTCCCTTGCATGCTGCAGTAAAAAGCCACTTTAGGGACAGATAATTGCCTCTTATAGAGCAGGCAACTTTGTGTTTACGTAAGTAATGGAGCACTTTTTAATTTGTCAATTAACATGCACACTCACAACAAAAAGAACAGGAAAAAAAATCACTTCAAAGAAGGAGAAACAGTCCTCTTTTTGGTCTCTGTCGGTGCTTTTCCTTCATCTAAGCACTTTATGTGGGAAGATTTGAAGAGGTGTTATCCAGCAATCAGCTCCAACACAAACTGGGCCACTCACAATCAACAGCATGATGCATCTGATTATCACAAACTGGGAGGCTCATTTATGAGCGCATTAGGGCCAAACAGTTTGAAAATTAAGTGGCTGATTTCTCTCCTTTTACAGCACCCAAAGCCCCCCGAACTACTCTCTACTTTTAAACAAAAAAGAAAAAAAGGGGTTGGGGGGGTGGGTAGAAAATAGACTAATGCCAAAAAGGGGTGAAAGTGGAGTAATATATTAAAAAAATGATGCAAAAGTTGAGGTGAAAAAACAAAAAAGTGTAGACCAACTTACGATTTGCTGCTGCTGAAAAAAGTGGCTTCAAAAACTAAACGGGGGAAACAAAAAAAAAAAGGTAGAAATTAGAAAAGAAGGTTTCTAGACTGTTCTGATGCTGTCATCACAACAAGCAGGGGAGAAAACGTCAGGGCAAAAAACATGAACGCTACAAAAGCGGCTCATCACTTATTTAGGATAAGTTGTGAGCTCTACATCACACTGCGGTGACAAGAGATCCGGGAATATGAGAAGTCAATTTTTCCAAGGAATTTCTTCTTAAACCAAAATTTAAAAACACTAATGGAAAAATATGATTAGACATTTTAAAAATCACATCTACAATAAAGATACTTATTACAGCTCATGACTGTTTAACTATATGCACTTTAGGTAGTACAGACGTACTGGACTTCTGATGATGAGGTTTCCTCGATCTTAGATATTCCACGATCAGCTTTAAGTGGTGTTATTGCAAGATGGAAGCATTTTGAAGTAGTAGCGTGCCCGATGTTGTAAAGTTACAGACCGGGGTCGCCGATGCTTAAAGGTCACAAAACCCCTGCTAAGCAAATTACTGCAGAGCTGCAAATCTCCTCTTGCATTAACATCAGCACAAACACTGTGCACCAGGAGCTTCATGGCCTGGGTTACCATGACTGAGCAGCTCCTGTAGATGTAGAGTACAGTTCTGTCCATTTAGTACAGCTAGAATAAAGACAAAGATTTTATTCTTAACAGCTCTGGTAATATTGTGAAACCGGTGTTTATCAAATTGGAGTGCAAGTGCCCCTAGAGGTAATTTTGAGTACTGCATTAAAAAAATGTACCTACCAAAGAGTGTTTTTACTTTATACCTTCTGGAAAAATCCTGAAATTTAAAAATAATTACATGATAGTGAGTTCAGTAGGACTTCAACTTTATTACATTTAACTTTTTTTCATTCTACAGAACGATAAACCTGGATTAGCTGTTATACTACCTTTAACACCAGGGATTCTGAAGGAGAAACTGACATTTTAAATCTGCATCTCTTCACTGAACTCTATCATTTATAACACAAAAAAACAATTTTGCTATCTGAGCTTCTATGTTAATGTAAACTGACCCACAAAGGAATCAGTGGTCTGCGAAAAGGGCGATGGGTGCTTTATTTTGGCCTCCTGCCTGCCCTCCATGTAGGGGTCAGAACAACACCCCTGCTTAAGGCCACTTTACTGCAGACCACACCCACTTGGGGACCGTGGAAGTTGGGTAGAGCAAGGTGGGTCCAAAAAAAAAAAAAAAAGTAGACTTCATTGACTTTCCACTGTAAAATGTTGCATAATTGATTATAAGTTTGTTTATTAGTATATAAATGTTAATTCATAAAGCTTTAAATCCAATGAAAGGCTTAAAAACCCCCACATAGGTCTATAAGCCTGCCTTACAGCAGGCCCACTTGAGCACTTCAGGTCTAAGCAGCTGCACAGCTCAGAGTACATTGCCAAGATTGTTAAAACACAAAAAATGAGTAATTATATCAAAATTACCAAATGCATAATTCTGTAGTGCCAGTGTTACATCCCCCCCTCCCTCCCCCGTCCATGAACGTGCGATACATAAAAGCACTGTTGCTTTAATGTTCCTCCAAAAACGCCCCCGCTTCTCACAGAGGGAAAACATCTCGCCTGCAAAATAACAGGACTCCTGAGATCAGCTGCGGCAAACACACCGCCTCAGCACCGCCAAAATCACACAGAAAACGGAAAAATACGTCGTTAGGACTCGTTGTAAACGACCGCATAACAAGTTTCAAGTGGAGGCAAAACACAGGACCAGAATAAAATGCAAAATTTAAAAACATATTCCCAGAAAAACGGCGACACTTTTTTTTTCTTTCTGGCAAAACTGTCCAGAAAATCCTTCCATATTTTATCTTCATAGAAATTAGAGCACACGCAAATAAATCATAGTTTTACACGGCATCCCTACAAAAATCAAGCCTTTAAAATGTCGTATTCGGAAAAAAAAAACCAAATAATAATAATAAAAAATATATATAAGCCTATATGTTGTTGTGGAAGCTACTTAAAACTAGTTTCTGTGCAGTTTGTGCCATCACAAAATGTACGTCACTACAGCCAATACAGTCTCAGGAATACCAGCCAGGAGGGGGAAAAAAACACATTAAAAACAAAAAGTCCCAAAGACGGTTCAAAGTCAGGACAAAAACAAAAAAATGTAAAAAGGTAAAAAAAAAAAAATCTCTCATTTAAAAATACTCACCAGGAGCTTAACACTAAAAATGAGAACAATTCAACGCTCTTTCTACTTGCACGGGTAAAGATCCGCTTACAGCGCTGCTGGCTCAACGTATCACCTTGAAACCAGTGGACACGAAATGGCGTCGACTCGCACTGGCGACAGGGGAAGGCCACGCCCGCTTCCGAATCCTAGTTCCTGATTGGATATCCTGAGCCCGTGTCTGTTTAATCTCTTCGCTGATAGGTTTCGTGCTCTTGCCACTGCCGTTGCCGCTCATTGATGACGACATTCATGTATGCTAATCAATTGACTACCCGACGGTACGTACGACACTGCTAGTTTGTGGCTCTAAAACATTGATGGCTGTGCTTTGTTTTAACCCGAAACCGAGGCACAACTGTAGTGTTTTACTGGTTGAGAGCAGCAGGGATTAAGTCCTAAAAACAGACACGCTTGCCAGTCTCTATTTTGAGTCTTTACTTTTATTTATTTTTTATTAAGGAGCTAATATGAAAAATTCAGTTAATGTTACATACACAATAGATTTGATCCAATTGATTGTTGAAGTTGTAGTTTATTTGAATTAGTTCCATTAAGACAGAGATAGAAATGAATAAATTTTTATG